TTTGCCTTACCACAAACAATGCACTTCCACAGTCCACTGTCACCACCATATGAATTATGCAAGCTCTTGAAGACCGACTCTGCAGGCGGCTTTGCATCGGAGGCCGGAGCACCAAACGGAGTCTTGAAGACCGACTCTGCAGGCGGCTTTGCATCGGAGGCCGGAGCACCAAACGCACTCTTGAAGACCGACCCGGCTGGCGGCTTTGCATCGGAGGCCGGAGCACCAAACGCACTCTTGAAGACCGACTCGGTTGGCGGTTGCGCATCAATTGAGTGCATTTTAGTTGTGTTTGTGAGTCTGCTGAATACATGTTTTGTGTCCTCCTTTGTTTTAGAGTTTTCTTGGTGGTTATCTTTTGTATCGATACAATCATATGGACGCATCTCTGTCTTTATTTTATGTGTTAATGTGTATCGTGTTTGAAAAGGGAGAAAACCGTCTTTGGAAAAGATAAAGATCATTATATTATTTTGTGTGTAATTGTTTTTTGTTTCCGTATCGTATCTCACGAGGTGATTTTGATTAAAGTGTTAAACGTGGATATAGAATATGTGAGGGTCATCTCTTTCTTATGTATTGCCGCTGAAATGTTATAAGAGTGTTTTTAAAATTTTCTTGAGCATCTTTTTCTCTTTTTTTGGCAAGTTTGACGCGACGTTGAAGGTCATGTATTTCATTATCAAGCTGTTGGAGAAGTGCCATGATATCGTTTCTGTACACAGCTTTTTGTTCAACATCTGGAGTTGTTACATCACTATCATTTTCTGTATTGGACGATACTGGATTCTCCTGCTTAGAGCCACAATTTAAATTCACTGGTTTTATATGATTCGAGGTAAAAGAATGTTGAATCTGAAACACTGAACCCATAACCTTCCCGATGGAGTCAGTAGGAGCTCCGTGTTGATGTACTTTGCGTTGATGGCGTTCTTCGTTAATATGTGCAGCTATATGCTACTAAGAGTCTTGGCAACCTGTTTCCCGACAACGCTACCGCTGTAAAAACTTAGTGGTCAAAGTATGTAACGTAAACATGCATAAAAACCCTAATTAACTCTTGGCAATATGTATCACTACGTCAGTTACATGTAAAGCGCAGGAAAAAATTGAGAAAAACTGTTGATACATATGTTATATTCATAGCTTTGAATAAGAAAACTACTATCACTAAGAAACAGAGAGACGTCAGCGTAAGGTGACTCACAATATGTGAAGTATAAATGCAATTTCAATATCCTAATTGTTGGAAGGATATGACATTTTCAGTAACATTTGTCCAAGGATTTCTTAAACGGCCTTATAGACCTTCTTGGGTTTTGGCAGGTGAAAAAAATGGATCTATCAAAAACAACTTCCCAACAAAAAAAAAGGTTAATTGTCCATGGTAACGGGGATCTCCCTCAAAAAAAGGTACATAACAACACTCTTGGTAATGGATAAAACGACGAAGTAAAACCACATATCACCAATGCTCCAAAATACAACTATTATTGCCCTCTGCGGTTCAGACTCTATGTGAGTAGGATGCTGAGAAAGCACTTTCCTTCCTTTCCTTTGTCCCACATATCCGTACCTCTTTTTAAAAAAATATCATACGACTGATTTATGTAACGTCACCATTAAAAAAAAAAAGAATGCAACAATAATGTGTGTTACAGAAACCAGCAGTATGTGGAAAAGAACTATTGAACAATAAATAGGAGAAATTTGATGTATGTATATACCCAATACGCATTTTGACACTCCTTTTCACCAAAACTCAAGGATTGAGCACATACAAGATAAAACCATGTATGAGTTGCTGTGCCAGAAGGGTCACAATGCGCTTTTGTCCGTCAACCACTAACATCAATGTGAAGCACAAAACAAGTTCCCTAAATAGTTTTAAAAAATAATAATCAATAATTACACAAACAACAAAATATTTGCATTTCCATCCGGAAAAACAGCAAAAACCTTCATCCCTTCCCCATCAGAAGAAAAAACAAACAATAAGGAAAGATGCATTGCTTATAAAAACAGCAACAACTAAAAAAATAAAACAGTGTAAAATATGTAGGCTTTCTTTGTTCCGCGTAGAAAAAAAGCTAAAGGGTCTTCAACTCCACTACGCAGGCGAGACAGAACAGGATGGGTAAGTGGATATATATTACAAAAGCTTTTATTACTCATGGCCAGCTAACAAATAAAACAATACTTATAAAAAAACCACAGTTTCAGAAAAGAATAAACAATGAAGGTTTTCAAAAAAAAAGTCTTCCATCTGACAATCAAACATGCTAGTAAAAAAGACATATGTTGTTGAGACAATATAACCATTGAGACACACACAAACACGCATATTCAAAACGTGGAGGACAAACACGCAATAATGTATTTCGTGTTGAACGAGGACACCGAATTCTGAAGACAAAATGAACGTTTGCTAATCAACAAATATGCCCAAATCGTTTCACATAACTGTACCTCTCAGATACATACAAAATCTAGCACAATACTTTAAAAATATCTAACACAGTAGCATGCCACAACTTGAACAATTATCTAAATAATAAAACGATGGTATCCGCGCACACGTTCATACACACAAAAACTCAGAGGTACCGGCAACACGAATAACACAAAGACACAGGAGGCCATTCATCCACTGCTGAAAGGGCTCAGTAAAGAAAAAAACACACAACTTCACGAGATGCTCTACTTTTAGAAAACACACATAATACGCCAATGGCCCTCAAAACTCTCTTAAAGAAGCTGACACACCCGTACAAAAAAAAAAAAAACAGAAAAAAAAAGATTAACAAATCTTCCAAATTACTGTCAAAACCGCAGAGCCCACATCTCACACATCACATGAAAGCCAACAATACCAGAAAAGCCCAACAAAAAACAGTATTGAAAATTAAATATTTAACATGGAAATCATCACAAGTCCATATTAAAAGGCACGAACACTATACACAACAATGCACTCCATGAAAAATAAACACAAAAAAAAAACGATTAACCATGGTTATAAGCAACCATAGCCACGACGCACATCAAAATTAAAATCACCCTTTTAGCAACGACTGCTTTATAATCCGAATACCTCAAACGTGGAAGACACCTCTGCTGCAGTCACTTCCCGCACTATCCGCTCGCACTCCTGTCGGGTCCCACCTCTCCACGTGTCAGCAACACCGAAGCTACCCGCACGCTAAGAAGCCGCGGGTTCCACCGCCATGACGACTGAATAAAACGGAGGTGTCTGCGGCTGCCTTCGCAGGCTGCGCCCCGTGCGGCCCAGTTACGTGGCAAAAGTTCCCTCGTGGAATCTACGTGCACTGCGCCACGTGCTGGGTGCAGCGTATGTTTGCGTCGTGGGGGACAATACCCTCACGGTCGAGGGGGCTTTGTGGCGGCGTGGGATGAAGGGGTGCGCTGCGTACGAGGTGGCGGGGGAAGGAAGGCAGCCAGCGAGGGAGTTGGCAGGCTCTTAATGGCATGGGGCATAATTGTGGTGGCGTCCTCAAACCTAAGCAGCCACAAACGACTGGGGGGTGGGGGAGGGGTGCAGGTGAATGTCGTGGGAAGTATCATGAATTGCCCTGACAGCAGCGATGTGAAGGTGCTGCGTGCTTGGAGGAAGCGCCATCAACCCGCACAGGAGCAACCGAAGTGCTGGGAGACGGTTGAAGATCACATGTGTCGTGTGAGACATGTTTTCCCGTTACAGTTTCAATAAAAGCGGCCCTGTTGCACGCTGTGGCGCGGGTCGGCTAGTCTTGGCATGGATGAGCTCTTTGGATGCTGAGGGCCACGCCGGCATTGCAACGTGGAAGATGTGGCCTGGCGAGGGTGCGTCGCACAGTCTTGTGAAGGCAGTGCGGGCAGGCGGGAAATCCACTTGTGGGAGCTTCCTCGCGGCAAGGACCCGTGGTATTTTTGGGAGTTGGGCAGAGGGCCGTTTGAGTGCAGGGCACCGAGGGAGGAAGCTGCGTTCCTGGTGCGGTATTGGGGCTGGAGGCTGCTCCCCGGTAGGAGGTAGTGGAAAAAAGAAAAAGAAAAAAAGTTGGTGAGAGCGCACTCATGGACGGGGCTTTCTGGTTGCGATGCGGGGTGAGCTGCAGGGGCCGACTCCACCCACGCGGATCGAGCCACGGCCCTGCGTGCCGCACGTACACCCCCCGACTGCACACCGCCAAGCCGGCCGAATTAATTCCACAGAACCACGAGCCTGAGAAGACTGGGGTTGACTGCGGGGTGCTGCGTAAACCGGAGCCCAAGCGCTTTTTGCTGTTGGACGCTCTTTTGTGTTTTTTTTTTGATTGGAGAATAAGGATGGCGGTTGGGGTGCCGTTTGCTGCGGCGGAAGCGCACTGCACCTACGCCGGCACGCTCCAGAGGCTCACTGAGTGTCTGGTGAGGTGTTTCGGGGAGTGGGGAGCTTCTGCGGTGGAGTTTTTGTGGGAGATGGTTGGCGTGCGGTGTGCGGATGGTGCGCCAATAAACACACGTGGCTGAGGTGCTGCAATTCCCGTGAAATTGGGCGGCGCAGAGAGTCGGAATGCTGCGGTGCTGCGGGAACCGGCGCGTCAGGGCCGTCTGCGGTCGTGTTGTACGAAGGTGTCTGCGGTGCCGGGCAGGTAGCAGGGGAGCGGCGAGGCCCCAGGTGGAGGAAAAGGCTGGGGAGGCAGCGAAGTGAGGTGGCGGATGGCGGTTCTATCGAAGTAATTTTTGGAGCATTTGGTCTTTGCCTGCGGGTACGAGTTGTGCCCAGTGGGTTGCCCTGCTGTGCGAAGGAGGCACTGCGTCCCGTGATCTCACGGCAGCGCGCTTTTTAGGTTTATTTTCTTTTTTGTTTTGTTTTTCATATTCTCCCACGTGTTGACGTTCTTAAATACACCTACAGAGGACGGGGGCAGAACAAGTTCCTCGCCTTGCAGCTGCAGTGTACCGCGTATAATTAATGAGATGCTGCATTTCCTTAATTCTCTCTTTATTTCTCTATTCACACCGCACTCACTCTTTGCTGCCTCTACTTCCTTCCTCTTGTCTCTTTTTTTGTTTTTTCTCTCCCGCTGCCTCGCAGCTCACCGGCTCCAGCGACTCTTCTCCTGTTACTACCAATACGACGGATGGTGTTGGTGAAGGTGCGACACCGTGCGGTGTGCGCTTCTTGTGCTGCTGAGCGGCTGCTGCTCATTTGTGTGGGCGGAGACGGCGTCTAAAGTGAAGGTATCGGTGGGTATGCAGCTGAGCGTGATCTGTCCAGAAACTATCAAACCGACGGAGTGGTGCTTTTCTGAAAGGTGTGAGACTGCATGGACAGCGTGTCCTGATACAGCAATAACTTCTTCCTCTACAAGTGCCGAGGACAAAATCGGTGGGCACATCTGCACCTCGGCCGCGTCGCTGTCCAAAACGCCCTTTGAGGAATGCACCGCATCAGAGTTGCAAAAATATTTTCTGGTGTTTACGATGGAGCGTTTGACGAATGAAAACAGCACACTGCACAAGCTGTCAAAAGGCGAAACTGTCACCCTCACTGAGGGTGATGTCTCTACTGATGAACCAGTCGAATGTAAGTTACCAAGCTTCAATAAACATCATGAGGGGCCTCAGGGAAGGTTAACAACGTTGGCTGAGGCTGCGATGGCCGCCACAAAAGGCAACGCGGACGGCAGCGGCACGCTCACTGTGTGGGTGCGTGGCACGCTGCTGCTGCTGCTCATGGCTGCTGTTGCCTGCACTGCTGGGGAGTGACTGCTGCGGGGCAACCGCACACCCACACACACCCTGGCAGGGCGACGCAGAGTGTTTGTGCGCCGTGTTTGCATGTCGTCCCTGTGGGCCAACTCCTCTCCTGTGCTTTGAGGGGCACTCCTTTGCTTTTTTTTCACTTTTGTTTCAATAGTCGTTTGCTAAGCACACTCACAATGGGTGGCACCTCTTCCCCCTCCTGTTTGTTTATGCTGTGCACATGCACGCCGATTGAATTGTGGCTGTGCGTAGCACGGAATCCCCAGACGAGACACGAGGCTGCGGACACTGAGGTGCAACCATGGTGCACGTGCGTGTGTGTCACACCTCTCACCCTCCTCTCTCCTTCCTTCTTCTCACTGCCTTTCGCTAGACTGTGCGTGTGTGTCTTTGCTGCGGTGACAAGAGTGGGGATGGCTGGCCGTGTGCTGTTGGTGTGCGCCCTCTGCGTGCTGTGATGTGCCGCCAGTGGTGTCGGTGCGTGGGGTGGAGGCTCTGCACGGAGAGTGACTGGAAAGTATTGAGGGCGGTTGCGAGGAACATGGGCGAGGCGGAGATTGAGGGGCAATACTGCAGCCCCAAGCCGGAGTTTGTGACGAGGATGCGGGCGAGTTGGCAAGGAGATGGTATTGGAGACTCCGTCCGTTGCGGAGCAGGAGGACACGACACCTCATGGAGGTGCAAATGGAGTGAGAGCCTCATCGGGGACAAAGATGCAGATCTCTCTGGGATTGTAATTCCAATTCCTCGCGCAATTGACGCAGCCATCTCCAGTATAGCTACAGGCTGAGGAGGCCAAGGGCAGAACTAAGACTCTGAGTGGCTGAAACGATGTTGGGGATCTGTTTACTCCCGAGGAGGGCGTACAAGCTAATCCGGAGCGGTCGAAGCAGCAGCAGCAGTTGCATTATGTGACGGAGCAGCACACAGGCGGTGTCACCAAAGGGCAAGGAGGAAAGGAGCCAGGGAATCGTGCAGGCGGTAACGCATCGGTAGGAGAAGCCCCGTCAGCACTGACACCATCATCGTCGTCAAAAGAGCGGGCAGCGCAGTCTTCAACACAAGGAAATCAGGCGGTTAAAGCTAATCCGCTTTCAGCTGACGGCTGAAGTAAGAAAGAAGAGACAAACCTCCAGTCAGAAGACACACATGAGCCATCAGCTGAAAGTGCCGTTCCACTCCCTCCACCCTTACCTGCTGCGGAAGTCAGCAACGATGCTGTCCAGCCCAGTGCCGCAGTAACACAAAAAGACTCCCAACGTGACGACGCCGCTGGGGCACCAAAATGCAGTGGGAAGGCAGAAACACCAGCACTGCCAGTCGCCGCCACTAGTGCGAGGAAGGCGGTAAGTGGCGACAGTGACGGCGGCAGCGCGACCTTGCACTGCACCTCCCCCCTTGCGCTTCTTCTGCTTCTTGCGTGTGCGGCGGCTGCTGAGATGGCGGCGGCGTGAGGGAGCGGTGCGCAGCTCGTCCTTCTCTTAAATATATATATTTCTCTCTTTTTGTGTGTGTCCTCCTGCACGGACTGTCGCCCTCGCCCCACCCCACGAGGCACACATGTAATGTGCTCATGCATACACGCACACTCATGCAGCCCGTTGGCCTTCCTTTTTGTTTTAATTATTTTGCTTTTGAGGGGCCGCTGCCGTCCTGCTTGGCTGCATGGGCAGAGCACCGTAACTGTTTTAATCATTTCAATTGTTTTGGTTTTGATTGCTTTCGGTGGGCGGCCTTTCTTTCTCCCTGCTTCTTCCTGGATTGGGCTGTGCGGGAAGAGAGGGTGTGTGTGTGTGCTGGTCGTTTCACTTGTTGCTGCGCGTCCCCAATGCTCGGTGGACGCGCCCACGCTTCGTCTTCGCTTCACAGGGTTTACGTTGCTTTGTTTTTGTTTGTGTATGTTTTGATTGCGTCCATTCAGCGGCCTGCTTGTTTGTGTGTGTCCGCCTGCTCTTCGGCGTGTGCTGGCGGACACACTTCGTGTGCGTTGTGCGGGGTGCCTGTGGGAGGCAGCCGTGCGTGGACGGCGGATTCTGTGCGGTGCCTTTTATCTCACGCACTCTGCAGCCGCGGCGGTGTGAGGAGTGGCGCCGGAGGAGTGGGAGCCTTCACTGCGTCGCCCACACACTTCTGTCCGGACATCAGTTGGAACGCCAAGTTTACATATTTCAGAACTACGCCGGTTGCCTTGCGTGGGTGAGGTGCCAGCAAGTTGCTTTTACGCGCGGCGGAGTTTGCCGAAGTGACGCCATTGCCGATGTTTTGGGAGAAAAACCGTTTGATGCAACAGTCACGCCCGGTACTACGACGGGAATTGGGCGCTGTTGGCGACGCGGCGCCATCAGGGAAAGGTGTCGTGGCATGAAAAGCGGCGCAGGCAACCGCCAGCTGATGGGGCGAGGCCGCTCAGCTCCACAAGTAGAATACCGCCCTGCACCCTCATGACCCTGCGGCGATAGTCGTGGTCAGGGGGGAGGGGCCTCCAGCGACATCCAACAGCGATCAGCACGGAGAGGGCGGCATGGTATGTTGTGGTTGGCGGAGGGGGTGACGGGAAACGGGTGCATACGGTTTTTCAAGGAGTGGGATGAGAAGCAGAGCTGTCAGAAATTGTCTCGAAGGGCGTGGGAAACATTCTCCGGCAGTACAGAGCGACGGCGCACGCTACGAAATGAGGGCCCCCCGCGCACGCAGCGGCGGCAGTAGTCGGACATGGTCCCTAGCTCTCGGTTGCCGGCACAGTCATGGAGGCACGTGGACCTCACACGGGGTCCCCACGTAACGTGGTGCGGCGTTACGGGGGGAGAGCGGCGGGCTCTTCCGGAGAGGTATGATTTTATTTGGGCATCGTTCAGCCACAGCACGAAGGCGACTGTCGTGCTGGGGCGCAAGACTTTGCAGGGTCTGTAGGGAGGTGCCGTCTCCTCGCGCAACGCCCATCCCCAGGCAGACGGAGAGCGCAGCCTTTTACATGACATGCTTGGCAGGTGTGCGGGGGGAGTGTTTTTTCCCCGATTATTATTTTTCTGCGGCTGGTGCGTCGACAGCTGCCACACGCCTGTGTCGAGGCGGGTTGGCCCGGGAGAACGAGGCGGGGGTGGCCCCGCAGAAATAGCCGGGGGGGAGGGGGGGGGGCGCCTCTCTGTCGTGCCTTGCCTGTGTTTCTCTCTCCCCTGTGCTGTCACGTGTTGTTTTGTTTTGTGGTGGCGGAGGTGTGCGGGGGACGTGGCGTGAGCGTTGGCGTCTGCCTTGCTGTAGATGCGGCTTCACGGGTCCGCGTGGGGTGGCCGCAGTTGTTGCTTGCGGCTTTGGCTTGCCCCTGGTGGGTGCTTCTTTGCGGGCATGGGGCCGGTGGCGCGGCGCTTTTTATGGGCGGTG